GCCCATTTATTTTTTATTTTGAGGCAGGACCTCTCTAAGTTACGAAGTTGCCCAAGCTAGGGTTGAACCTTTGATCCTCCTGCCTCAGCCTCCAGAGTGTTGAGATTACAGATGTGCAATACTATACCCTGCAGTAAAGGCCACATTTAAACTAAACCTAAGAGGTATTTATAAATGAAAGGGTTCTTGTTGTCATCTCTGGATGTCTACCTTCTAACACATTCCCAAAATACCATTTTTTGTACTCCAGTCAGTGTTCGGGTGACTTGATTGACTTCCCAGCCATGTAGTAAGAAGGGTAAAGGGAAGTCAGAGACATCTTGGAAATGTCAAGCCAGGGAGGCTTCAGGGATTTTTGGTCCAAAAACTTCCCGAAGGTAGGAAGCGAGTTGATGTAGACTCAGAGGAAGACCAGTTGTCATGGCTGTGTCTCGATGTCCCCCAAAGCCTCACACAGCCATAGGTGGGGCTTTTCAGAGGTGGTGGATCTAGAGTGTGTGACTGATTCACGGTGCAGTGCTAGGATGAAGGGTGCTAGGATTAGAGGTGAGTGATTACTAAATCAGTCCACTGGTTGGTTTGGCACTGCCCTGGTCCTGATAGCCTGGGCAAGACAGAAGGCCAGAAAGGTGCTGCTAAGGCCTCCCTGTTGCTTTGTTGCCTTCTGCCTGCCATGAACCGTTTCTTCTCTGCAGTGCCTGTTGCCATGTGCCACCCTGCCTTGGAGCCAGCCCATCATGGCTGAAACCTCCACAAACTGTGAGCTGAATAAACCTTTCCTCTTTTAACTTTAGGCATCAGGTATCTTGTCTCAGCAAGGAGAGAAAAAATAACTAAGACAGACCTCCATTGGTATTTGTTTGTATCATACAGGTAACAGGGGCTGGGACATTAAATACATTAAGCGATGCAGTGTTTAACATGTGGGGTGGTGTGGGTGCCCAGGACCCCGCCGTGTGAACCCGGGGCACCCACATGAGCATCCTGCAGGAAGAAAGCAAGCTCTGCACCCAGGCTAGCAACTGTGGGGTGGCAGTGCCCAGTGGCCTATCAGCGCCTCCCATGTGGTGCCATCATGGGGTCTGGTGGAGGGGATTTGCTGCGCTCTTTCACCTAGTTAGCAAGGGGCTCTCACCTGGCCCACAGCAGACCAGGGCGCCTACGGAGAAACCAAGGATGGAAGGTGACACAAAGCAGAGAAGTGGACAGGACAAGGAAGCAGCAGATCTAGAATTTCCTCTCAAAATATGGGCTATTGTCACCCCTCAGGTAAAAGTACTGACAATCTGATCAGAGGCAGCAGGAGTGCATGAGATGGCAGGGTGGGGGAGCAGAGAGATGGACAAAACCGTGTAAGACTTCAGGAAGAGGAACTTAGTATTGATTCACACCCACTATTATTAAATAACAATTATCTCCAGAAGTAATTGTATATTCTGCCTGTAGATACATGGCCTATACATTCATCAAAAGATGAGTGGATACAGAAAATGTTGTGTTTACCCACAATGGAGTGCTACTCTGCCATAAAAAAGGATAAATTTGAGTCATTTGTAGGAATATGGGTGCACCTTGAGACCACAATGTTAAGTGAACTAAATCAGACACAAGAGTAAATACTGCATGGTTTCTCTTCTATGAGAATCCCAAAATATAAACAAAGAGCAAAATTAAAGATAGATAATAGGAAATATGTAGTGAGATAGGTCTTTTACAAAAAGGAGGAGGATCAAGAGACAAAGAAAAGAGGGACAGATGGGAGGGGAGAGAAAAGAGATGAAAAAAGAACTAAGATGTGCTATGCACATGTACCACCCCACATAAGGGATGGGATCGTTTTGTGCTACAGAGAGCCCTTCCCAGTCCTTGTCACGGCCAAGGAAGTTATATTTGCAATCCCATGAGAAGGCATTGCAATTCCAGTGAGTTAATTCCAATCTATCACTTCCAGGGCAACCCACGGCGAGAATAACGACACTAAGGCATATCTGTAGTTATGGGGAGCCAACGGGTCCTACGTTCAGCTAGGATGATGGCCATCCAGAACAAAGAGCTGAATCTGGATTTTATTAATTCATGAAGAAGGGAGTGGCTTGAGGATGAGTGACTGTGAGAACCCTGGGAAGTAGGTAAATGCCATGAGCTGGGCTTGGTGGGAGGCCTGAAATCACCTCTGCAAATGCAGACAGAAGGATATGAGAAAGAGTAATCTGCATGACACAGCTGAGATAGTTTCTAATGTTATGGGGTTGGTGCTTAAGGTCTGATGTGTAATCTTCGAAGCCCCAGGAAGTCATAGCCTCTACCCCAAGGCTCAATCCCAGCTGACCACATGGAGCATTGGCTCGCACATCCCGCCTCATCCTGGCTCGAGGGAACAACAGGGATCTGGGGAAACATGCCTGCCATCTCCAAAGAGTACCATCAGCACCTTGGCTAGACCGATATGCATTGCTTAAAGCCAATTGAAGGGATAAGGAAAGGGTCCTGGCCAGCTCTGTGCATAACAATAGGTGAAACAGGGTCAGGTTCTGCCACGGAGGAGGCACCTGCTCCTTTGTCAAGGAGAGTTGCCTAGGTGGTCCTCCACAGTGTACTGCAAACATATACTAATAGAAATAAAAATTAAAGGGCGAAAATAGCATACGAGAAAAGATCTTTTTTTTTTAAATAAACAAGCACCCAAAATATTTTTAAACTTTTTAGAGTTGAAGATGAATAAAACAAAAAGAGTACAAATTTAAAATCTTGTTAAATATTTTGTAAGGTCCTTTTTGAAATTTCTGATGTTTTGTGTAAGGCTTCCCACATCCGTAGTATCTTTGTATTTTACATACACGGAAATACATGGAATGCGAGGCAGATTTCCTCCCGAGGTGCATGTTTTGATTTAACTGGAGACAACAACAGCAGGTGAGGAGGGAGGGCTCAGTGACCGGGAGTGGGCCAACGTCGCAGGTTCCGCTGAGCAAGCAGGTTGCCTGCCCGCTCCTCTTCGCCAGAGCTCCGACCTCCTCTCGGGGAATCCATGCACCTGCTGTGGTCTGAGCTCCCCAGCCTCTTCTGCAGGCGCTGTCACCCGAGGGACCACTTCCGCAAGGATGCGCTGTGCCTATTCGTCACACCGCAACAAACTGGCCCAAAGCCTAATACTGGACCCTGCCCCCGCCACGTCTCTCCCTTGCCATCCTGCACGAGGGCAGGGCCGTGGGGCAGCTCCTCTTGGTTGCATGGGCTCATTGCGGGTTCACGTGTGTGGCTGACAGGCGGGTGGAGACTGCAGGTTGGGGACACTAGCGCCTGCCCACGGGTGACTTAGACTTCCTCTTCCCTTGGAGTCCTGAGAACCAGGATTCCAAGAGACAGGAAGTGGAGGCTGCTGCTTTCTTAGAGCCTGGAGTGTGAAGCTGGCACTGGATCTGCTGTCTTCTGAATACAGATAGTGTCCACCAAAAGCCGTGTGCTCAAGGCTGGCCCCGGGGGTGGGGCAGTTGGAAGGCACCATGGACCTTTAAGAGGTGGGGTATGTGGCGGGGAGGCCTGAGGTCACTGGGAACACTGCTGAAGGAGACAGTGGGATTTCTGGTTTGTGATGTGAGTGGTTTGCTCTGACACACACTCCTCTACCATCGCTACCCAGCATCTTGACCAGAGGCCCAGAGCATTGAGGCTGATTGATTGTGGACCAGATCCTCCAGAATGGTGAACTAAACAAACCTTTCATCTCCAGAAGTCACTTGCCTCGGGGATTGCATTGCAGTCACATGAAGCTGACTAACACAGCCTCACTGCTGCTGCACGGCCATGCAGGCACCAAGCCTGTCCATGTTGAAAGGAAGAGGACAGACGCCTTCCCCCATGACAGGAGTGGCCACCGTGATCTTCCATGAGATGTAAGCGGAAGTGGTCCCTTGGGTGACAGCGCCACAGATTCCTAAGAAAGCATTACAGCTTTCTTTCCTATTGCTCCTTTCTTAGTCCTCTTCCTAGGATTCAGGTGGGAGACTTGAGCAGAAACACTTGTTTCAGAAGCAGGAAGTAGCCATGTTCATGGCTGTCATGGACTGAGACCTCGAAGCAGAAAGACAGAAGTAGCCTGAGCCCCGGAAAACGTCCCTGACATTTATACGAAAACAGGCCCTCGGCCAAGGCCCACCAGAGACCTTTCCACTTCCTGCAGCTGACCACAGCCCCAGCTCCCTGCCCGCTGCTTGCAGTTCACAAGGACGGGAAGCCTTCATGGGGTTGTGAGGCTTGAGGTGGATCCTGAAGGAGGAGTGCAGTCGAGATTTCCCGTCGCCCAAGGCACAGACGGGACCTCTGCCCTCAGTGTGCGTCACTCCTGGGTGACGCCCATCTTCCAGGAACATGCTCTGTCCCAAGAGAGCACCCTCCCCTCCCACAGCATCCAGGCGCCATCTACAAACCAGAAGCTGGCTCTCACCAGACACTGGATCAGCCTGTGTCTCAGACGTCCAGCCTCCAGAACCGTGAGAAATAAATGTCCACTGTTCAGAAGCGCCTGGACTGTGGCAACAAATTTTTGTTATTGTGGCCTAAGACAAGCACCTTATCACCCTGTGCCCTGTGCTTTCCAGGTGTGTTCTCATCTAACTCCTGCAGTCACCCTGGGATAAGGACACAGGTCCAAATGACACAGTGGCAGGGAAAACTGAGGCTCAGAGAGGTCAGCAACATAATAACCAAGATCACAGAGCCGGTAGGGGTGGGAGCCCAGGCCTGCTCATGCCCTTTCCGGGCCTGCTTTCATTCCAAGTCCTGATTCTGTTTTTAGGAGCCTTGAATTTAACACACAGCTCAGACGTCTCTACATTCATTGGCTTTACTGACTTTACCTCCTTGAGCCTCAGTTTACCCATCTCTAAGATGAGAGGGCTCTGAGGGCTGAGTAGGAGCTCTCAAAGGAGGCGTCTCCCCCTCAGGATCCTTTGATACCATGCAAGTTCAAATAACATCAAGGTTTATAAAAGAACAAAACATCATCAAATGGCCTTATAATGAAATTCCAGAGCAATACGTAGGCGGGAGAAGGGCTACAAATCCACAGGATGTCAATTCCAAGTTGAATACAATTTACAAGAAATGGTTCAAATATCACATGGTCAAAACAATTTTGAGCTTTCCAGTATTTACAAACATACCTCACTTCATAAACCTTTCCAATCCCTGCTGCATCATCCGTACACAGGGGGGCCCATTTTAAGATGATTCTATTTAATCTGATGTGGCTTTAAGTGAGGCCTGTTGGAAATGTGCTACTAATTTTGGACTTTTGTGTTTGGGAGGAAATGCGATTGAAGCTTAATCCAATTTTCTCAAACCCAGAAACAGCTACAAGGAAAACAGACAGGCATGAAGGAAGAGCGGCAGGGTTTGCCTCACAGGGGCTCACTGGCCCCCTAGCTGTCCTGCTGGAACGTCCCATCCCAGTAGTGGTCATCCAGGCAGCAGGGAAAGTCCAGTCATGGCGACAGGGTCTTCAGGAGAAAGGTCTACTTCATCCAGCTGCCCTCAAGTAGCTCTTTCTGAGCCGGGTGTGGTAGTGTCAGCCTGGAATCCCAGCACCGTGGGAGGCTGGGGCCTGAAGTTAGCGATTCTGAGCCTAGTATGAGAAATTTAGTGACTTAGTGAAATCCTGTCTCAAAATAAATAATAGAAAAAGAGCTGAAGATATTGCAAAGGTCCTGGGTTCAACTCCCATGTGACAATCATAATAATATTGATAATAACAACATAATAGTAGTAGCAGTAGTAATAGGTTCTCTGGAGGGATTTCTGTTCTACCTAGCAGCACAGAGAGTCTTACTGTCCTCACCTGGCCTGGGATAAGGAAGCAGATGGCCAAAGATAAGGACAAGGACATTTAACACTTGTCGGACAGCCACCCAGGCAGCGCTAGGGTTGCCGAGATTGCGGCAAGGTGGGTCCCCATTTCCTCCCAGGCTCCACCCTGTTGCCACTCTGATAAATCCAGATGGATGTAAGCTCAACCTCAGGCTCACCCACCTTGCCATGGATTTGTTAGGAGGTAAGGTGGTGTGACAGGCGACACTTTCCAAAAATGGTTGCGTTGGTCTCTACCTTCTACCCAAAGTGCTCTTCAGATGGTCCTGACCTGGTTTTTCAGCTGTAGGGTGATGCGGAAGAGATGAGAGTCCAGTAGAATCTATCCCGAGGGTGACCACTACTGCCGAGGAACATCCCAGCGGGTCAGTTTGATGTTTTCCTAGGCTAGTAATATGCTGTAGGATAACCTCTTGCGATGGGGTCCCAGTCAGCCCCAGGATCGTAAGCATAAACAATCAGTACTCCAGACTGTACTGTGTTGTCATAATGTTGGTAGGTTAAGTGAAATGCATATTTTTGGCTTGGAACATTTTCAGCTTACAGTGGGTTTATCAAGACCTGGCCCCATCATAAATTAAGGAACATCTGCATATGACTTAGACATTCCTCCTTTGAGGAGTGAGGGGTCCAGGATCCCACCCTAAAATCCGGGTGGGTTGTGGCTAGGGTGCAGAAGTCATTGTGACTTCTGCTGGCTCAGTCATAATAGGTAATATGGTTTCCGCCTGGTTTTCTTGGGATCCCTCTCCTTAGAACCCAGCCATCAGACTGTGAAAGAGTCTAGGCAGCCACAGAGAAGCCCCAGGAAGACGCACCAAGCCCGCACCTCACAACCCTGTGGAGCCCCGGATAGGACCAACAGCCCCCTGCCAGCTATGGCGATGGCCACGCCGGAACTAGGCCTTCTGGCTCCCAGCTGATCCCCCCAGCTGGTGCATGGAGCACCATCAAGTGGTCCCCGCTAATTCCTGCCCAGTATGCAGACTGATAAGCAAAACAAATGACTGGGGTAGTTACGAGTCACTAAGTATATAGAGAGCTTCTCTTAAAAAAAAGAAAAAGGCATTGCCAGGCATGGTGGTGCACGCCTGTAATCCCAGCACTCGGGAGGCTGAGGCAGGAGGATTGTTGGGGGTTTGAGACCAGCCTGGGCTACAAAGTGAGCTCAAGGCCAGCCTGAACTGCATAGTGAGACCCTGTCTCAAAAAGACAAAAAAACAAAACAAAACAAAACAAAAAAAAAGAATAAAAAATACAGCATTTAGCATTCTCACTCCACCCCTTTGGCGGATGGCCTTGGCGGTCACTTCAGCATCCTTTCCTTGCTTCCCGGTCTGTGTGATGGGCACAATGCTAGATCCCTGAACTGCCGTGAGAGCTCACCGGGTGGGATGCAAAAGCTCTAGAATGCTGTGGAATTTAGTAGTGCCCACACCCCGCCTCGGCCTTCTTCCCGTCCCATTTCCTAAGCTTTCCTGGCCAGGTGCAGTCCCCCACAATCCAGCGCATTGTGATCCTCCCAGATTCCCTGGACGCTGCTGTCTGGAGGCCACAGTTCCACGCTGCTGTGCCCTCTGCTTGGGGTGGCGTGTTCACCACGCCTGCAGCAGCCTCCTCCACAGCTTCACTGCTGCCGCCTCCCAGACGCCCTCCCTGACTTCACTCTCCACAGCAAGTGGCTACAGACGTGGAGGTTTTCCAGATGTGGAAGCTGAGTTCTGTGGGGCTAAGATATCACAGTCTCACAGATGTCATAGTCTACACAGTGGCAGTGCACCGTCCTGGCCTGGGTCACCTCCCACACTCGGCTTGTGACGTTAGTGCTGGCCACAGCCACACCGCTTCATCTCTGCTCAGCCAAGCGGCGAGCTCTTCGAGGGGCAGGGCTGGAATGTCCCTTTTCCTTCCTTTCTTTCTTCCTTCCTTCCTTTCTTTCTTTCTTTCCTTCTTTCTTCCTTCCTTCCTTCCTCCCTCCTTCCTTCCTTCCTTCCTTCCTTCTTTCTTTCTTTCTTTCTTTCTTTCTTTCTTTCTTTCTTTCTTTCTTTCTTTCTTTCTTTCTTTCTTTCCTTCCTTCTTTCTTCCTTTCTTTCTTTCCTTCTCTCTTTCTCTCTCTTTCTTTCTTTCTCTTTCTTTCTTTTTTTCTTTTTTTTTCTTTCTTTCTTTCTCTTTCTTTCTTTTTTTTTTTCTTTCTTTCTTTCTTTCTTGACAGGGTCTCACTATGTAGTGCAGGCTGGCCTTGAATTCGCTTACAGAGCCCAGGCTGGCCTTGCACTCACAGTGATGCCCTGCCTCAGCCTCCTGAGTTCTAGGACTACAGGTGTGGACCACCACGCCCGGTAGGGCTGGCGTTTTCTCCAGGTTAAACCATTTGCATCCCCCATGTGCAGAGCATGCAGCTGGCTGTGCACACAGTAGGACTGAGTTCATACCTCTGAGTTAAGGTAAGTTGCAGGCCGGGAGATAGAGGAAGCTGTGAGGTTCCTAAGAGCCCAGTGCCTGCAGGAATTGATTTCACTGGGTCTGCAGATGCAGTCAGTCACATCTGAGATAAATAACACTAATAAATGAAACCAGTTCAGAAATATACGCATCGTCTCTCCAGCCTCCGCACGTCCGACCCCCTGAAACACCCAGTGGGTTTCCTCCCACTCCTGATCCTGGGCACAACTAGACAGAATCCCCTTATAGAGCATCTCTTCTTTTTAAAAAAATGGCATCTAGATTCATACTACTGGCTGACTTCAGAAATTGTTTGCTTTACCCAATATGTCAGAGAGATTCCCTCCAGAAATGACACAGAAGTCAGTTTTTTCAAGGAGAGATAGTTCCCCCAGACACGTGTATAACTTACGGAACCTTCCCAGGCCCAGCGGACTTTCAGATTGCTTCCAGGTTTTGGCCACCACAAAAAGCGTGACCGTAAATATCTTGTCCCCACGTCCTTATGCTCCGGGGCTTTCATTTGTGAGGGCTGCGTTCTCAGAAGTGGGCTTGCTGGGTCAGAGGAGATGTGTCTTTCTCGGTGTTCACAGACGCTTCCAGACCTCCTGCATTCCCAGGAGGTCGTGGCAATTCAGCAGTCCTGCTCCCACACACAAAACGCCAGCTTGGAAGGGACTTCCCTCCCTCCGTCATGCATGAGCCAGAGTCAGCGTCTGGAGAGGAGCCTCCAGACAGTCATCCAGCCGCACTGAGCCTGGAACCTCATCCCCACAGGGACCCAATCCAGTGCAACTCACTTCCTGGGCTTTTGGCTGGAGAGATCAGATGCAGAAAGCCAGACCAGTGTCACAGAGGGGATGATTATTCTGTCTGCAGCGATGAAACCCTGGCCAGCGGCTGGACAGCTACAAAAGCCGTGGCTTAAGGGTGACTCGGGCCACAGACAGGTCAGCCCACCTGTCCTTCCTTCCCTGCTGGTCCCGGGCACCCTGCCCTTCCCACAAGCCCTGGCTCGGCCCTTCTCAAAGCCCACCTGCTCTCGCCCTTGTCACCCACACCCACCACATCCTTCCAGAGCCCACCGTGCTGTCCAGAGCACAGGTCCTTTCTACTCTCTGCCGGGTCCCAGGGTTGGCATCTCTGCCTCGGCTCAGCAGATAAGGCTAATGATGGCGAGTGCTTGTGGGACACGTACCATGACCCGGGTGTGCGTGGCTAGTGCTTGATGTGTGTTAATTAATCTGCCCCCGGCAGTCATCTCTGATGTCCACGACACAGAAGAAACCAGGCTGGAAGCTGGCAGGGCATCTGTTAGCACCTGCTGCCCTGATCCATCTGGGATTTGCTTGAGACGCAGGACCTGACTGTCTGTGCTTCTGAGTGCTTTGAGGGGGACAACCTCAGCTCTCCTGGGGCCCAGTATTCCAGGCGACCTGCGGGACCACCCTGTCTGTTCCGGGCCTCCCTGGCCCCCACTCTGCAAATAGTTCACTGCCGCAGGCTTAGCTACACAAGGCGTCTTCTGCAAAACCTCCAGGGATCCCCGCTTTCCAAGCTCTTGCCTCCATCCTGAGCACCGACTATGTGCCAAGTGCTGCAGAGACGCAGGGAGAGTTGAGCTGGGCCTGCCTCCAGGATGGGCCAGACAGGGAGGGCCCAAGGCACCACCGCATCCTCGGGGCTTTGGGAACAAAGATAGGTCCTGATTGGCCCGGAAGCAAGCAAACAAGCGAGCCAACATGAGAAAGAGGTGAGGCCACAGGAAGACAGAGTGGGGCCGAGGCTGCTGGAGGAAGCCGGGGTTTCCTCCAGAGAACCCTGTGTTAGCCGTCACCCTGGCCCCACTGTGGCTGGGGCCCAAGTAGGGCGCTCGGAGTCCTCCGAAGGGACCTGGGCGGGTGGGGAGGGAGACGCTCTTCTCTCTGTGCCTGGAATTAGAATTACCACCCCGGCTGCATCTGACATCTGCTGGAACCAATTCATTATCATTAGGAAATGGATCCCTAATGAATTTCTGCGGCCATTAAGTCTGATCTACAGTAATGGCAATCACCCTTGGAAGCACACGCTTTATCCCTTTAATTAATAATCCTTCCTTATCAGCAAGCCTAATGACCACAGGACAAACAGGGGAAGAAGTCTCCTGGCTGCAGCCCAGGCTTCCCACCTCACTGTGGGGCCAGGGAGTGAAGGGCCCGGTCCACTTTCCCACCGCGGGGAGTTGACGTCCCTCAGCCTCCTCTGGAATCTTTACAGCCAGCGGCCAGCTGTGGCACATTTCTGGGGCCTCCCTGCCTCACCTGTGTGGCTTCTTCCAGCCACTACCTGGCATGACTCTGCATCCCTCCCTGGAGAGACCTCCCTCCTTCGCTGTGCTCTGCGACTTTCTCCTGTCCTCCGCTACAGCCCCAAGCTATTTGCACCAGGAAACTTGGTGCATCTGGGCAGCAGGTGGGCAGGTGAGTAAGTGATGCAGGACTGTCCATGAGCAAGAGCTGCCATCACCTGTGAGGCACAAAGGGACCCAGCGGGGAGCAGGGTGGGCTCTCCGGAGCAGCAGACACCTCAGTGGAGCACTGAGGGCAGGTTTGCTGAGATTACCAGGAACCACACTTTCATCCCCCGGGTGCCGGACACTTTACCTGCAGTATCTGCTCGGAAGGTCACATCGATGCTGAGAGCTAAGTGTCACTACCCCCAGTTTACAGAGGAGAAGATGTAGGTCCACAGAGGGTAAATAGGACCATGGGTGGCAAAGTCAGATCACAGCCCTGAGCGCCTGTTTCACAACCCCGACTGTCCACATCCCTCAGCCTCTGACACAGGCTTTTCTGCTGAAGCAGGACACAGTATGGCACTGCTGCGTCTCACCGTGGCCCCCCACACAGGTAGGTTGCACTGGTTGCTCACCGGGCTTCACCCAGAAGCCCCCAGGAACACAAGCCTCCACCCAGCTCGACACACCTGGCCTCGCTCTGCTCTGCTGTAGCGAAGAAGCAGAATTTATTTTCTCACAATCCTGGAGACTGGAAGTACAAGGCCTGGGAGCCAGCAGGATCAAGTCCCGGGGAGCTTCTCTCCCCGGTTTGCAGGTGGCCTCTTTCTTGCCGAGCCATCACATGATGGAGAGAACAAGAAAGCTTCCTGGAGTGTCCTCTTATAAGGGCACTAATCTGGTAATAAAGGGGCCCACCCCAGTGACCTAATCTCCACCTGGTTACCTCCTAAAGGCCCTGCCTGAAAACTCAGTCATACAGGGGCGTAGTGGCTGAGACCGCTGGCGAGCCCCTGAGTGGTGTGCCTTGCCTGTGGGACAGCATTAGCGGCAGAATGACAGAGCTAGGAGATGGAATCACTGGCTGAATTCAAATCCTGACTCAACCCCTTCCAATGCCGTGATGTGGGAACCTCGCCGTGCTTCAGATTTTCCCCTCTGAAAGGGGGGAACCAAGAGTGCCTGCTCCCGGAGTCCTGGGAAGGATGGCATACACTGAAACATGTAAGATATCTGGGCATGTGAGATATGTGAATAAGAAAGAACATTCAGAAAGTGTTAGTTGATATTATTATTATTATTATTATTATTATTATTATTATATCAGCAAAGACATTCTGCTCTCAGAAAAGAAATTTCTAAAAAAAAAGAAAACCCACCTCTTAAAAGCTCAGACCTTTGGAACTAAAAGAGGAGATGGATGTAATATATCTAACAAGGGGAAGTCAAGAGGCTGGAAGGAATTTTGAGATAATGATCTATACGTTTTCTCCTCCCACGCTCTTTTTCCTCCCCAGCCCTGCAACGAAGGGCTGGCAGCACATCCAGGAGCACTCCACGCAGTCAGGGCAGCCTGTGCTCCGATGTTCCTCCCAGCAGCATGCATGCTGCTTCCCATGCCGACTCTGGCCCCCTTCAGGATCCCTCCCGCCGCTCTCCTCCACCAAGATGCAGGGCCCAGCAGCACCCACCGCCCTGCACGTGCAGTGCTGGCTCCTAGCTCAGGGCACACCCATGCATTCCCTCTCATCCCCAGTCCAAATCCCCGTGATGCCATCCTTCCAGAAAGGTTTCTGGCCCTCCGGACCATACACATGTGGCAGGTGCCCCCGCCGCAGGCTTCCCTAGCCCCGGTGCCGACCCAAGAGCCTTGAACTTGCTCTGATGAGGCTGCCCAGGATAGGGCTTACGGCTGTGACCTCTGGGACTCAGCTACTTGGATGGGAGCCCTGACTTTCTACTTTCTGACTGCGTAATCACAGACAGATTTCACTGCTCTGTGCCCATCTGTAAATAGTGACACAGATGGTGGCCCTCCCTCCCTGGGACCCTGTTAGGATTCTATGGCTTCGTGCATATAAAGCTCTTAGAACAGAGCCCAGTATGGTCCTGTGTAAGAGCTCATTATTATTTACAAAGCGGTACCCCCCCATGAGTTGTATCTTTTTACCCTCACCCCACCCAGCACAGTGGCTGGGACTTAGTAGGCACTCAATAAATATTTGTTGAGTTGAATTAGCCCCACAAAATGGAAACAGAACTTGGCTCACAAAGGGAGTGATCACTCATATTACATATTAGGTGATTTTTCCAGAGTGCATCATGCCAAATATTGTACATTCTTTATTATAGTGAGGGTGGTGATATTCGTTAAAGGGTAGCGTAGTTTCATTGGAAACCCTTATTTTTGGAATTTTATAACTCAGCCACAAAAATTCACTCCGGGCAAAATGCTAACTTACGTCTGGAAGTAAATGGGTTTATTTTATAAATTTTTATGCATTTTCCACACATAAACAAATGGCCAGATAAACCATTCTTTAATAGAAGGATTGCAGGAGGAAAATTTGATATTGTGGTATATGAGACATGAGGACTCAAAAACGGGGTGGAGGCGGGGTCGGGGCTCGCTTGGCCAGGACATGTGCTTCGCTGCACGTTCTGTCTTTTCTCCAAGCCTTTGCCAAGGTCTCTACTATCATAACAGCCAGGGATTTGGGGACTTCACTGGACGAGCTGCTGTTCTAAGAGTTTTACATGGTTTAAATAATTCCTAAAGATACATCTCCTCCTAAGGGATGGGTGTAGGGGGTTCATTTAGTGCACCCCCAAAAGCTATTTGCTCGGACCTTAGAATGTGACTTTATTGGAAAATAAGGCTTTGGTAGATGTCATCCTGGCAAGATGAAGTCATACTGGATTATGGTAGACGCTAAGCCCAGTGACTACTGTTTATACAAGAGAGGAGGAGGAGGTTTGGGCACGGAGACACGCAGAGGGAAGAAACCCACGTGGCAGCAGAGACAGAAACACGAGAGGCTTAGCTTTGAGCAGAGGGATGCCAAAGATGCCAGCACCCTGAGGTCTGGAGGAGGCGGGAGGGATCTCTCCTGGAGCCCTAGGAGGCAGCCAGCCCTGCTAGTGCCTTGAGCTTGGATTTCTACCCTCCAGAACTAGAGAGAAGAAAGTTGTCCATTTTGCAGACATTTGTTGCACCAGCCACAGGGAGCTCACCCAGTGAGGAAACTGAGGTACTAGTCAGACGGCAGGCAGTGCTGAGATGTCAACCCAGCGGTGGGCTCCGGGATCCAGAAGAGTCTAGATGCCACTCCTTGACCCTCTTTCCTTGTTGGCGGATAGAAAGACTGTTAACCCTGCCCACAGTAAACAGATGCGTCCCAGTGACCACCGCCTAGCATTTCC